CTTCATGTTTGGTCTTGTAGCCAATTAAAGTCTCTTTGGCTTGAAGAAGTCTTTTTTTTCTTCATCAGACCCAGTCACGCATAACCCGAAGATTTTGTTCAATTATGCTACTTCTTTTTTTAGTCTAAGTGCATGATTTGCGTGTTTTCATTTATCCTGTGCAAATGTCACAAAAATATAAAGTAGGCCTTGCTGTATGTCAGTTAAGGGAAGTGGCACGTATTGATATTGGCATTTGTTCAGAATGTAACGCCGTTTTTATAACAGCTGCACGTTAACCACAATGTTTCAGATATAAAACTCTTTCAGCGCCTGATTCTTCCACCGATGGGCCATAACTTTGCCTGCACATGGAACGGGCCTTTGCTGATATGCAAAATGAGTTACGCATTTGGAGTGGAAAAGTTGTGAAAGTGAGCGTGTGTTTTTCCTTCAATGTAATCGTTTTTTTTTTCTTTTTTTTCTTGTATTTTGAAACCTGAATTGTCTTGATTGAACAAGCAGTCCTTTGAACTTTCATGCCAAAACAACTGCAGTAAGAGTGAACCGAATTTAATATGTGACCCTGGACCACAAAACCAGTCTTAAAGGGATAGTTCACCCAAAAATGAAAATTTGATGTTTATCTGCTTACCCCCAGGGCATCCAAGATGTAGGTGACTTTGTTTCTTCAGTAGAACACAAATGATGATTTGTAACTCCAACCGTTGCAGTCTATCAGTCGTATAATGCATGGCAATGGTAACAAAATCTATGAGAGTAAAAAAAACATGCACAGACAAATCCAAATTTACTTAATTTGACTTAAGCCATCAGTTGTGCCTATGGTTTTTCCACATCCAACTGAGGTATGTGAACAAGATCTTTGTATGTGTCCTTTTTATTTGTAAAGCTGCCCTTACGAAAAGTAACAAATAAAATGAAGTTTTGATGTAATAAAACCATGTTTTTTAGTGGTTTACTTCCATTTGTATAACAACTGTTGTACTACAGGCACCATGTTTAAACTATGGTTAACCATGGTTTTACTACAGAGACACAGAGATTTCGTTGCAATAACATTACAAATACAACACATTACTCACTCTATTGACAGCGTGCCATTGGGTCCCTCTGGCCTTGGACGTCGCCTCCAGTTTATACGTGGCAAGCTAAACACAATGTGCAAAACGCTGCGGCTCAACAGCGGAGAAAAGTCTGGATCTTCAGTCAGGCAGGTGTGTGATGGGACACCCTCGGCAATGTCCTCGTCGGCGTCTTGCAGTTGTGGCATTGCTATGTTCCATTCGTGACAACAGATGCTCTCCACTTCTGTTGGCATCTCACAACACTTACTACAAGAACACCACCACTTTTGAAGAGATCTCTGTCTCTCTGAGGCTTGAAGACGTGCTGCTGCAGCAGATGCTTCCTCCATCTCTCTGAGTTCTTGATCTGAGTATTCTGGTTCAAATAAATACGGTTGGGCAAAAAAATCCACGTGGTCTGTTGATATATCAAAATCGTCTTCCATTGTGATGACCTGTACGTCTAAATATCTTTAGATCTTCACAGTGGCAGGGAACACGTCCGCAATGACTGTGCACGGTGTAAACAATGAGTGACGTATACGCACGAGAGATCACTTCCGGTGCTTGCGTAAACTACGCCAGAGCACGTACATACCTCACGCACCGGATGCCGTGCGCACGCTCAAGGCAGTTGGACATAGTGGTGTATTAGAGGTAAAAAATTATATAAATACTGTTTGGTTTCTCGCACAAACCGATCGTTTCGTGTCTAAGGACATCAATGTGTCGTCACGAGCCGCAGGGTTCAATTTGGATTTGTCTGTGCATGTTTTTTTTACTCTCATAGATTTTGTTACCATTACCATGCATTATACGACTGATAGACTGCAACGGCTGGAGTTAAAAATCTCAGTTTGTGCTCTACTGAAGAAACAAAGTCACCTACATCTTGGATGCCCTGGGGGTAAGCAGATAAACATCAAATTTTCATTTTTGGGTGAACTATCCCTCCAAGTCGCTGGGGTATATTTTTAGCAATAGCCAAAAAAAACATTGTATGGGTCAAAATTATCAATTTTTCTTTTATGCCAAAAAATCATTAGGATATTAAGTAAAGATCATGTTCCATGAAGATATTTTTATGGCTAATTTCCTACCGTAAATATATAAAAACTTCATTTTTGATTAGTAATATGCATTGCTAAGAACGTCATTTGTACAACTTTAAAACCAATTTTCTCAGTATTTTGATTTTTTTGCACCCTCAGATTCCAGATCTTCAAATAGCTGTATCTCGGCCAAATATTGTCCTATCCTAGCAAACCATACATCAATGGAAAGCTTATTTATTCATAAAAACCTTCACATATACGATCTGATCAATAAAAGTAAAAATTGAGCAGTAAAATATTTAATTCTTAATATAAATGGATGTCAAATGAATTCCATTGCTCTGTACAAATGCAACTTTAAAGTCAACGTGAAATAAAAAAGGACTCAGTTACTGACACACAACACACATTCATGGTTTTATTGTGTGTTTTTTTTATGTTATTCGAAAGAAAAAAGTTATTCTTTGTAATCTTCCATCAGAATGTAATTACTTTCTCTGCCTCTGAAATGTCGTTGCTATTCCTTTTCCTATAGTTTACGCTGAAATCATAAAGTTTACAGCAATAGTAGCAAATAATAATAGATTTATTCCGACACATTAGCACTGGGATACATACATCAAGGGTGAACTTGACCTTAAGCTTCCACGTCCTTCATGCAGATCTGGCTCTGTTCTGATGCAGAGCGCCTACTTTTCACCATTCAGTCACTTCCCAGTGGATAAAATCAAGCCATGCCTTACATTTTGTTTATATTACAAAAGTAAAATGTGTTGTGAATAGAGTTTTATGTTGATTGTAATGCTGCATGCCTGGACCGCTAAAGGGAAAATGTAAATGGAGCACAATGCAGTGGTTTAAAAGAGTCTGAATAAAAGTCGCTTCCTGTCGACCCCTCACTTGTGTTCAGATTGTACATGTTTAATATATTTCACTAAATGAACAGCATGGAATTGAACTAATTTGATGGTAAGGGAAAGTGTCGTGTGACAGATATTTCAGAGTAAGAATGGCCCGATGGCCCAGGGCTGGTGTAACAGAGCTTCAGAGCGGTTGACTTATGTTACTGTGTTCCAGTGATCTTACATTCATCCTGTTGATCATGTGCAACTATTTGTGTGCTTTGCAAAGTTTGGTTTTGAAGGTTATTTTGTGAATTCTGCTGATGTAAAACAAGATAATGCCACCAAGATAACATTAGCTGGCGGACATGAGGAACATTTCTTGAAATTGTGAATAAGCCTTTGCACAGTATGCCATTCTCCAGCAAAAATGCTTTTGAAGTTTTACAGTGAGTTTATGCAATGTATAAAATGATTTTTATGATGAGTTGTAAATAAAACAAAGATTATTGGAGAGTGTTTTTCTACTTCAAAATTTCACATTTAATTCAGCGTGTTGTTTGCGGAATTTACTAGCAATATACTGAGTGTTATTTATTTGAGAGAATATGAAGTTATATTATATCTGTTAAATGTCCAGCTGTCATTGCAAATTTAAAACCAATTATTTGTTTATGGGGTAAAAAAACTGCTTAATTAAAGTATATAAATATATTTTTCTGATAGTTCTAGAATTCTTTCCTGTGGTGAGGCGAGCAGAAATGGAAGAAGAGAGGGCCAAAAGAAAAATCCCTGTTAATTGAGCTCTGTACTGGAGATCCAGGGCAGGTGGCTGGTGTTGACCCCAGATGGGCCCCTGATTGTGGGGTTTGTGTAGTAGCAGCATGTGCTTGAAGCGAGCTGGTATCCATTATCCTCTCAAACATCAGCTCTTCACTGTGGGAACCTTATTGATCTACAGCTCTATAATTATTCTACTAGCGCACACACGCACACACACTCACTCATCTCTCTCTCTCTCTCTCTCTCTCTCTCTCTCTCTCTCTCTCTCTCTCTCTCTCTCTCTCTCGCTCTCTCTCTCTGTCTCTCTCTTCTATCTTTCTGCTGAGCCCCTGAACCTCTTTTTTGCTCTTTTTTCTTCTCTTTTAATTGCTTTTTTGTCTCTTTCTTATCTTCTTCTTCTTCTCCCCCACACACGTGCCTCATCCCTTCCCCTAATTCCAGCCCTGTCTGTCGTCTTTTCCACTCTTCCCCTCCCTTTCTTTCCAATGTTCCCTCACTCATTAAAGTGCAGTGACCTTTTGTGTTTTACCAGACTTGGGAACAAGCGTTGCTGTTTGTCTACAAGTAAATAAGACAGCTAATTTCTCTGATTATGTATTACAGCATAGCAATTGTCATGTCAGGATATGGTTATGGTATGTTAACACAAATCTACTTTGAAAGCTTTGTATATTTTAACATTTATCCCAGAGAATGCCTTGCCCTGTAGGCTTCCATAATACGTTTATTACTGTAAATGGGATTTATGCTTGTTTTTCCAAAGTGAGGGCTGCGGTAATCAACAGCATCTGTGGCGAGAGCTTAACTTGCGTTTAACCCGGAACATTCCTTTAAATCCCTGTCGAAGGGAAAGCGATGCGTTTTTGGCAGCAGCTATCGCTAAACTGTGCCGTTAGACAGCTTTCCTGTGATAATTAGCCTGGTGGATGTAATCAGAATGGGAAAGTGGTTTAGTTTGGCCACCTGTGTGTGTTTGTACACACAGTCATGTGAGCGTGCTCTCACAAGGTCACTACAACAGCTGCAAGCCTGCTAATCTCAAATAGTGGGCAGGTGCGTGTGTTTGCCCTTCGCGGCACATTTGAGTGCATGAATGTGTTTGCCCCACGTTGAGTGATGGGAAACGGGTTTGTGTGTGTTACAGTGGTACAGTATAGTACACAGGTGTGCCCTCAAATATTTGTGTGCCTAAAATGATGTTTTTGTTTGTATTGTGGTTGAATTTCTGCTAAAGTGTTTTTCTGTCTTTACAGGAAGTTTGGGGAGCGCCCTCAACCACAGCGCCTGACGAGGTACGTTTATCACCTTCACATGCTAATAACAAACAAACAAGCTGAGAAAGGCCTCTCTCTGGTACGGCCTACATTTCTGCTTGCAAAATTTGTGAATTACATGACTTACAGTGACAACAGTGGAACTATCTGCACATGAGTTTTCACTTTAAAACAAAGTTTGTAATTTTTAAAGAAAAATGCTGCAGTTATTTAAAAATGGTGAAAAATTAGAAATGTTTTAACATCATGTAACATGTAATTCTACTGTGAAATACTTTCAAATGTTCGATTTTCGGTAAGTAAAAACTATGATTTACCACATAATTCATAATGTGAAACAGTAAAAGGACATTCCCAGAAGTCCCTGCATGTCACATTACATATGATTACATTTTATTTCAATGGTTTTGTTTTGTCTTATTTTTGTTATTAGTAATGTGCATTAGCATGTTTTGCGTTACATTTTAGGTTGTTTTGTTTGGTTGTTCATATATTTAAAAAATATATATATTTAAAATTTTCAGGCATCAGTATGCCATACCTGAAACATTGTCACCATATTTATATGGTACATTTTTGGCTAACATGAAATTTAACAGGAAAATTAAATTTTTACATTATATAAATTATTCAGTTTGCCCTTTCTGGCAAGTATTATATTATATTCTATTCTATTATATTATATTACAAGTAATTATAAGTAATTTTGACAAATATACTGTGTACACACACACACACACACATATATATATATATATATATACGTATATTATTGTGTGTGTGTAGTTGTTGTTATCAATATTTTAAAGTTTTGCAATTTAATTGGTAATCTCATTTTTAGGCTACATGTCATCTCACATAAGTAACTAGAAAAACTGTGAAACTTTGTGAAAATAGACTTGTGAGATTTTATATATTCCTACACCACTGAAAAATTAAGCTGCATATAAATCAAATGTAATCCACTTTACTTTCCCAAATGTGAATGTTTTTTTTAAATAAATTCTTCTATGTTGGAAAATACAGAAAACTTAAACCTACATTTCCTTTCCTCTAAAATCTGGCCGTATTACAATTGATTTAATGGCCAGTCTGAAAATAAAAGTACTGTTGGCCTAGGACATCCTGAGCTGTAGTCCCCACTGAGGTTTAGTTGTAGTGTCTCTCGACACTGCCGTGGAGTTTTTCCATAGCTGCTGTCCCTATTTGTCGCCATCGTTTCACTCTATTTTCTCCCAACCTCTTTCTATTTCACTCGTTTCGCCTCTTGTCTGTCTATTTAATGCTCTTTTCCTCCATCCATCCTTTTTTGAAGAGTCAGAATTAGAGGCCTAGAATTTGCCCAAGAAATATAGAACAATGTTTCAGACGATCTGTTCTTTGAAGCAGCTCCAGTCAGCGGTTCATGTTTTGAGTGGACATGGAAAATGATAGAGAGGGGAGAGTTAAGCGCTGGCCGCCCAACCCGTGCCGCACGCCCTGTGGTTAACTTACAGCACGACTGCATTCTGGCAGTCACATTGCCACTGCTTCACGGCCCCTGTCTGCCCTGGGCCCCATCCTGTGAATCTGAGTGTCATTAGATAAAGACTGGTGTGTCTGTATGTTCTGCTTACAATTCACTAAGGTGTTGTTCAGTCACAGGTTAGGAGCAGCTTAGGTCAGATTCATTTGGGTCAAACCTGTTTGGATAATGCTTTCTATAGACTGGCTATTTTTAATGAGATGTGCACCATGGTGTGATGACTAGGGGATAAAGTGATGAAATGTGTGTGTGTGTGTGTGTGTGTGTGTGTGTGTGTGTGTGTGTGTGTGTGATTGTGTGATTGTGTGTGTGTCGGGGAGCCCATTGCTAAAGATAACATGACATGCCCGGAGGAAGATGAACCTCTTTAAACATCTACAGTCTCAATTAACTGGCAGAGTATTATACAAACCTTCTCCTTCTCGTCTTGTGCACATTCAAACATGCAGCTTTGGCAGTGGCACAAGTAACTGTTTTTACCAGTATTACTAATTCTGCAAAATTTGGGCATGAACTAACTTGAGCAGTTTGTCATTCATACTTTTCTTCTTTCTCTCTTTTAACCATTTTCTTACTTTTCTCCTGCAGTTAACTCCCTGTCTGCTTTTTTATTGTCCAAGGTGATTTAAAACCTGACTGTCTCTCCATCTCTTTAGATATATTCTTATTCTTATTTATTAATATTTGAAATGGCCTTTAGTGAACTATGAGCCATGATTTGCTACTAATAGGGACATGCAAATTCTAGACAGATTTTAAATAGACACAGATTTTCTGTATGTCCCATAGTGCAAGATGAATCGCCAATATTTTTCATTTGAAGAGAAAATTAAATGCGTATATCTGCCAACAGTTCATTTTGGCAGTTTTTTTCTGGTGTGTATCTGTTTACATTCAAAAGTTTGGAGTCTTTTGCACTTTCTATTCATCAAAGTATCCTGCAAAAAATGTATGATAGTTTGCCCAAAATATTAAGCATCACAACTTTTTTAAACATTTATAATAATTGCAAATGTTTCTTGAGCGCCTAATCAGCATATTATAATTATTTCTGAAGGACCATGTGACACTAAAGACTAATAGAGTAATGATGCTTAAAATTCAGCTTTGTCAGCACATAATTACATTATAAATATATATTCGATATAGAAAGCAGTTATTTAAAATGTGACATTTGCCTTATACTTACATTGAATCATTTAGCAGATACTTTTATCAAAAGCGACTTACAAATGAGGACAATACAGTAGAAGCAATCAAACCAACAAAAGAGCAACAATATGTTAGTGCTGTGACAAGTCCAGGCTAATCTAACGCATTTCACGTAGCTAGGTGTTTTTTTTTTATATAATATTTATTAATAAATATTTATAATATTTAACTTTTTTATTATTTTAATATATTTTAAATGTTTTAAAAATAATGCTATTTGTACTGTATTTTGATCAAATAAATGCAGCCTTGTGAGAATAAGAGACGTCTTTCAAAAAATCATTAAAGTAAATCCAAACCCTAAAAGTTAATAATAACTTAACCATTTTGACTACTACTTGGACCATGGTCTGGTCCTATTGGTTGTGATTAAAATCCACTTTTAAGCCATTTCAGAGCAAATTCACAAATACCAAAATATATATTAAATATTGTTAAAAACCTGAAAAATATTGAAATAATTATTTTGGTTTGTTATCTCGACTCAGACCTATCGGGCTTGCGCACATTAAAAAAAATGTCTTTTACTAATGTTTTTTTTTAATTTATTTTAGTGATGCATTGAGACATTCATTTAGAGAGTTTAATGATTAAATTCCACATCTATGACACATATAGAGAGAGATCACTGGAAATATGGTTCTTTACTTATGTAGCCCACGTCACATTGTGGTTTTCCCGTTGTAAAATTTCTGTCTTTCTAAAAATTTGCATCTTTCAGGTCTTTTGTATAATGTGGTGTTTTGACTTTCATGTCCTGTGGTTTTGAAACGTATTAAAATATGTGTGTATGTAGATTATAGCATTTGTTGCGAGTTTGCTGTTGCGTGTTCAGTGTTTGTGTGCGTGTCAAAAGTTCTTCCTGTTGATCAACCATGTTTTGACCAAATCTTAGATTGTCTGATTTGGTCTGATACCCTACAGTGCCCATATTTATCATGCTGTTGCTGAAAACTGATGACTCACAAAGGTTTGTCCACTTCTTTCCCCAATGTGTCTGGCTTTGTGATTATGTGCATCTGTGTAATGCTGTGGTTGCTTGTTATTACTTATGTCTTTCTGTTTCTAAATTTTATATTTTATGTTTTTAAGTAAGGTTTTCTTCTCTTCAGTGGGGTGGATATAAGCTATCTGAATCTTTCAGTTCTGTTTGAATTAAACATTTCTCAATCAATCACTACTGTTTTAAGTATATGTGTGTTTTCCGTGAGGAAGCTGTCAGAAGAGCTGAAGGTCTGTGGTTTTTCTCTTGAGCACATGACGTCACATGGCCCAGTGGCTTGACTTTGCGTGCGAGACCTTTGCGTGTGCAGGAAAACTCTGATTGATCTCCAGGACCGCTTGCATGGAGTTGCATGTTATTTCTGACCTTATTTTACCAGCACTGCAAGGTACAATAAACCTTGACATAAATAACGCCAAGTTTGGTTCACATGTTCCCCATAAGATGTTAGCCAATGGAATAAATCTCAAACCTACTATCATATGTTTTCCAATTAAACATTTGGGTGGTGTATGTTTTGGATCCTAAGTGATCTTTGATCCTTAATCGCATTTGTGAAACATACACACAACTGCATATATTTTCTAAATCAAGTCATCAGTAGGTTGTCAGAACAACTAGTCATCTTGGAAAGCTTTGTGTAATTAGGCTTGTTCAGCGTCCACCAAGAACTTTCAAAAGTTTGGAGCTGGCAAGATTTTTTGCTAATGTTTTTGAAAGTCTTTTTTGCTTGCCAAGGCTGGATCTAAAACTGTAATATTGTGAAAATGCATTATTATTAATAATAATACAATAAAAATAATAACATATTATTTATTACTCTGATGACAACCATTACTCCAGTCTTCAGTGTGACATGATCCCACATATGCTGATTTGGTGCTTAAGCAACATTTCTTATTATGTTGAAAACATTAATATTTTTCTGGAAACTTTTTTTTTTGAAATAGGAAGTTCAAAAGAACAGCACTTAATGCATTCTTGCTGAACAGAAGTACTAAAAAAAAGACCCCAAACGTTTAAATGCTAGTGCATTTGCACCCTTCTGTGACTATTAATGACTAACTGAGTATAACCTTTTATTGTACAAAACCATAATAGTCCTCAGAAACAAACGGAGGCGTATAGATTATGCACAATAGGAACATTGCTCTCAGCAGGTGGTATGAAGTCTGACTGTAATTGTCTTGAAATGTATTCTTGAAGGTGGTAAATTTGTTACAAAAGTTCTGATTTAATGGCTGAGGTGGTGTTGCTTAAAAGGGCATGAATTTAAAG